CAAGCCATGGTCTCTCACCCTTTCTCTGGTTGATGATTTCTGTGGCGGACTTTGGCTTCGATTCTGGCTCTCACTTCGGTTTCTCTTTCTAGATGATTCTTTAGAATCGTCACGCCTCTCCCTTTTCTCTGGTAGCACTCTCTCTGCAGTTACAAAAATTCATTGCTCATTTAGTTTGCGGGTCTCATTTGGATCAACACAGACATGAACACACAAACTCAAGAATATGCAGCAAGAGGCTTAAATTACACAGACAAGCTTGTTATGGATGTGGAACAATTGTCTCCAATGTTTCCAAACAGAAGAGATTGGGTGTGTTAGTATGAACTTACGATTTCCTGATAAGCCATCAGCTTCAAGCTTTTTTCGGTGGACTGCAACTTTTCTATCTATCTCCTCCGAGTTTTTCATCCCCTGTTCCTCGAGAGATTCTCGATACTCAATCAAAGCAACCTCTATGCGTCTACGCTTTTGTCTGCAGCAATAAAGAGTCAAAGTAAGGCAACATCTCATAATGGAGTTGCTACTGATACCTACACTAGCTTATCAGTTGGTAACCTTTGCTTTTTCTACATGAAATTTCCCAAAAGCCAGAAATCCACCTCCAGGGATAGAACCAAATTACCCCTCAATTCGTAAATTTTATGGACCAAAGCAATCAAAGTTTACAAAATCATGCCACAGTTTTTATTGGTTTTGAAGCTCTAGCATGAACATGAAGGAAAAGAGCTAATATTTTGGTGTATCTTAACTTCGTTGTTTTCCCAATTGCCTCCTAAATTATTAGTGCTGAGGAACATAGTTCATCATGCAGATCATACCTTTGCTCCTCGTCAATTTCATTTTCAGGCTGGGCATGAATGCTTGGATCAGCCTTGAGATCCTGTTCGTCTATCTTGAAAGTTGTCCCACCAGCATTGTCGCTTCCAGAGTAGCTCTTCTTTTGTTCATCATCAGTTTCATCATCCTCTCTTGCCCATCTCGAAGTTTGCAATATGAGGTCATTTTTCTCTTTTTTTTCACAAAGGCTTTCAGCTCTGGCTGTGGGATTGGTATTGTCGAGGCCAGAATCACAGGCTCTATAGTCTCAACTTTATCATAGCTTGTCCTCTTCCACTCAGTCTCATTGTTAACTTCTTCCCAAGCTGAATGTCCCTGTGGATACTTTGCTTTTTCATCTGCCACTGCATAGCCAGGTTGTTTTTCTGCATCTTCCAGGCTTAGCAGCCGAGCAACCATCAACTCTCTACCCCCTATAAGTGACAGACCGTTGTGTCGGCAGCGTCTCTCAAGCTCAGAAATTGGTAGATTCATCAGCTCTTGCCTTGCAGCTCCTTTGCCCATTGCCAGTGCAGCATCTTGATTGATCTTATCAGCATTGTTCATATTGCCCATGTGACCTTTCTCCTCTATATCAGGCACATCCATGAATATAGAATGAAACGAGGTAACACCAGCGTTTCCTGTCCGAAGAAACGTGGCCCGTAGCCCATTTATATATGCATCTGAGAAGAGAAACCAATCTGTCACCTGCAGTACTTTGAGTACTCCTGCACAAAGTAAGAATGAGTTTGCAACAGAAATTGAGTAAGTAAAGAACCACATAAAAGATATTTTCTTTCTGGGATTACTTTAAGAGCCTCAGCGGTAATTCTTCCAGTTACACTGCGGTACAGATCGTTGAAGCTTTCCATTATATCGGGTAATGTTGCTTCGAATTTTGTCCTGTATGCAGAGGCATTTTTAACAGGAGCGCTGCTATTATGAAGAATGTCAGCCACAAGCATGAGTCTTGCAACTTTAGTTGGAATCGGTGTCTCTTTCAGGGTCAAGGACTCGGTCAGAACTTCGATAACCTGTGAAACAAGTAAAATATTTATTATAAGCAAAAAAAAACTGAAAGGTTTGGTCCAATGAATGTAGTTCGAAATCCTGACATAATGATTTATTAAACAGAGGGTGCCGGTAAGATCAGATCCATCAATGTGATCCAGAAAGAAATATACCTCTCCAGCTGCATCTGCGTTATCCAAAGCAAAACCCATAGCTTCTTTGATTTGTCTCCTTTCTAAAGTTAGAGCGCGTAACATGTCTTCAAATTCATCCCTTTGCGGATCAGTTAAGAGTTTGTTCAGCTTCTGCGCGCTGTTATGTACTAGTGTTAACGTACCAATAAACAAACTTCTCAAAGAAGGAAATAAGATATAAAATGTGAGATTGCAAGGAGATTACCCTGCTCCTCCCTGCTGCATATGTGCCTGCAGACTCTTTTGCATGCTCTGGGCTCCTACTTGCAGGCATTTGTGGTGGAATCCATCTATTATCAATGAAAACCAACAGTTTTAGTGCAATGTAGGTGAACAGGTAAACACAATACAGCACCTGACTCAGTTTCAATGCTAGTTAGATTAAATACCTTCCACTTCCAGTTATCATGATGTATGGCTCTGTTCTCCACCTTTGAAGGGTATCACCCTAAATAATGACGAGAAAAATCACCAGCTTCTGAGAAAAATCCAAGAGAACCTCAGATAATTGTAAGTATGAAACAACTGAACTGTACCTGAGCAAAGGAATAAAGCCTCCAGACATAGTAGGTATGCTCCTTCGAGCCCAGCTCAAACAAGAAGTTAAAAAGTGGATTTCCACGGCCCCTCTCCATAATAGCTTGTTCGAAAGCACATCCACCGTCCAGCACATTAAGGGCCATTGAATCAATGACATGTTTGAGGTGCTTGTCCTCAGGAGAAACGACAATGATATCCGGAACATTTGGGGTAAGAACCTGAAGATGAAATGCAAGTTAATAAAATAATGTTTGTGCAAAGGTCCAGAGATTAACATATATGAAGGACAACATTTCTGCAGTATCCAGTAACTCCAGGCACTCATATCATATGGAACAATTATGGGCATATAGACAAAGTCTGCATACCAGCTCAGAATTTTGATTTGGAACAGAAGTTATTGGTGGACCCGATGTACCAGAAAAAATTAAGTTGCAGCCCTGCCAAATAAAACATATGGAGCTTTAGAGTTGCATATAAACAAAACCAGCAGTCGTAAAGTATGTATGCTGAAATGGAACATGTCACATTCAGAAATTAAGATTTGATTCGCTAATGATACAATTAAAGTAGAAATGAATCTCAAAGGAGCATAGGACCGTCACAGACCTCCTTACTCCGATGGCAGAGCAACCGCTTTACCCCATCCAATCTTCAGCTCATACTCATACATAATGATCCCTATGAGATACGGAAAAGATCTTTGTAACTTTCTTGCATATTATCACATGCATTAAGGATGCACAGTTATTATCAAATCAGAAAGTCAGAGAGAATGGAGGTACCAAATAAAATATTAACACAGACCAAACAATGAACCCCTAAGTAGGGTTTCTACTACATACGATTATATAATTTCTTTTAAGAAATATTAGGCTTTAAGCAAAAAAAACCCAATATAATTTGCTGATATGAAATTTTCACGATTAAAATGCTATTGCTATTTAAGAACCTGAGGAAACAAAGCTAGTACATTTCTTCATTTTTTGCTCTTCTATCATATAACACACTGTCTATCAGCATATTTCAGTTAAGAACCCCACGGAAACATACACAGTTCCATACAGAACGGTTTCGCTAACCTTGCATTTCATCTTTTGCAGCTTGTCCATCGGCTCTATTCATGAAAGCAACGAAGCCACAATGTGTTTGTCGCTTTTTCTCCTCCTCTGTTCTTGGCCACATAATTTTAACACTAGCTATGGGCCCAAATCTTCCAAACGTCTGCAGAAGAAAATTCTCATCAACCTAATAAAGACAATATCATAATTTCTTGATCAGGGAAGAGAATTATAAAATATTGGCTAAAGAATACAACGCAGGAATTCAAGTTGGAAGTGAACAAACCTTAGGTGAAAGATTCCCAACATATAGATTCGTAGTTTGTGGGTCACCATCGTCAAATGACTCTAGCCTTCCACTGGGATCAAAATCATCAGGTAGCTCACCAAACCGGCTAGATGAGTGAGATAAGTACAACTTAGTACATAAAGCAGTACACATCTCTCAAATAGAATATGAATTTGGTTAAGAAATAGAACTCTGATGAAGACAACAAAGTCTACTATGAACATACCGTGCTAGCACTATTATGGTCACGAGGATTCTCCTGATCCTGGTTTCGCCTTTCTCTCATTTCCTGGTCACGCTTCAGCTCCTCCATAAAGTGATCTATGTTTAGAGTCTTTGCCTTTTCTCTCTCCTTTGATCTCTTTTCTTCCCTCTAGAAAGCGGAAAAATATTTACTTAAACTAAACCAATACTTAAACAAGGAACTGAAATAATTAAAATTACAGTGACAAGGTCCATCACTACTGACCTTGTTCTCTGGTTCCTTATTCTTAGATGCCAATGATGGGGGAAGAAAGGAGGGAACATACCTGCAGAAATTACGTGGAAGATAATCTTCTCTATCACAAGAGCACAGACATGGATTTCAACTTTTCAAGCCATATGAGTGAACAACAATCTAAAATCCCACAATTTCTACTAATAACGCAGGTGACAGAAGTTGATTGTATTCCAAACATCACCAACCACAAGATAAATGGAAGTCTAATCTATCTATGTAACAAGCACATCAAAATTGTATTTATACTCATAAACGAAGTCCTCATAACCGTCAAACTCGTTGCGTACGATGCCTCCGCAAGAAGTGATCTAATCACAAGATTAATTAATCAAACGCATTCAGTTTTACCTACTCCCCTTCTTTGAAATGGAACCCAAATCTCTGGACTTTTCACCTGCCAATCCTCGAATGCATAGGACAAAAAACAAAGGTCCATACTTTTTATTAACATGTTTCTCAATGCAATACAAACATTATACTACCAATCTAACAACATCATCAAAAGAATTCACATAATACAAAGAAAAAATCCAGTAATAACAACATCAATTCTACTCGATCAAACCAAAGCCATGGCGTTTTCCAGAGACTAACCTTCAGAATCAGGCTTGGACTTATCATTGGGATTGATTGTCCCACCTCGAACAAAAGTCTTAGCTGCACTATCTCCTTCAAACGATTCAACGAATTCCTGATAGAGACGAGCTGTTTCATCCTCAGCTCTCTGCATTGCGATGAACAAAATTCCTCATTATCAAACATCCATGGATTCAAATAGCTACGGAACAAAG